CTTAAAGAAGCGTACCTCTTAGTATCTTTCAGGATTTGATGTCAGGAACTGATAAAGGCTATGAGAAATAAAATGAAATTCATATAAAGAAAGAAAAACAGACACTAGCTTTTTTGAAAATGTGATTATTTGGCTTATTTGTGGCCTGGTTTCTGTAGGAATGTGCAGCCTTAATATGAGAATAATGAATTTGCCCCTAAACACACAGCTGTTGGGTGTGCTCAGAGTGACCCCCTGACCCTATTGTCTGGAAATGCCCTGCATTGTGAGATGTGCCATGTTTCCCATTTTTCCCACGTTGAACAACTCAACAGATACTTGCATCTGATATTTTAAATGAGTACAAAACAAATAGAATAATGTTGCTACTCCTGGGGACAGGAACTGCACTGCAAAGGCTTTTCAATTATGAGGCACCTCAGACCCATTCAGGGTCTACACAGCTCCTTCTCTGAGCAACTCCAGCCCTGCCCCCTTTTTGGCTTCATCATTGGAAGGGGATCATCAAAACTGAAGATCCTGGCTCTAATCCCAGACTCTTGATATTGAGACAACCAAGTTGTGCATCTTAATTTGTTTTGAAGTATGCTATCTTCTGGTACCCAGATGAGTTTTTATCCCTCAGATTCTCCCACCTGCAGCGATCTCTTTCACTTCGCTAAGAAAATGGTCTAAAGAACTAAAATACCCATGTTACTAGCAGCCATTTAGGAGGAGAATGTTATTTTCTCATCAATAGTCAAATAATGCTGCTTATGGTGAACACTTACAATGGGGTCCTTATACAAAATCTCATTTTATTTAAGAGTTCAATAAATACTTGTTGAATAAATGAATGAAACAACAAATCAATCGATTTACTAAAAAAAAGATGAGTTGCTAAATATTTATATATCTTTGTATATCTGAACTACAATGAAGTTTTTCCAAAGCAGAATCCAATAAATTATAAACCCCCATGAGGACAGAGAGGTATCATGACTTTTTTCTGTTATATACAGTCTCCTGACAAGGCTACTCTTGAATGCACACAATAAAAATGTACTAATTGAATCAAATTACATAAACTATAAAAGATTAAGTTTTCCAGCTTTAATTATCCATACAATATTTTTTAGAAGCATATTTACCCTGAAAAAGTCACTTTTAAGGATAAAAACAAAACCAAAATGAAAAGCTCATCTGGAAAAAAAAATTCATGCTCACTTCCTGGGGAAAATATTCAGCTTTGCTTTAAGTTATTGAGATTTTTCTAGAAATGCAGCTCCACCCCACATCCCCATGTACTTTGACTTTTACCTGGCTTTGACTCTTTGACAGATAAATGAGCATATGCTGGATGAAAACTCTTATTCTGAAAAAAAAAATATTATTCTTCTGTCATCACTGACAGAAAAGGATGAAAGAGGATTGCTCCAAGAGCCAAGCCCCGACTCAGCTCTGACAGGCTACCTTTCTCATCTTCACTATCTTCTTTCCTCAGTGATTCAGAGTTTCTATTATCTTTACATCATTATTAATTAGGATGGTGCTAACAAGGGAAACTGGAGAATCTTTATGTCCACACTTTTTACCACCCATTTGCTGGATGCCAAGGGATTATGTGTCTACTTTAAATAGAAAAGCCTAAAGCAATTGGGAGTCACCAAGAAGAAACTCACCTCCTAGCACATACTTTGAGTAAAAAAAGCATTTGGGACCAAATGATCTCAATACATGCATTAGTGTTCCAAATTAAGTTCCAGGTATAGACCTGTCTTGTGGACAGATGGCCCAGGCTGGTCTGCTAGAGGCTGGCAATGGGTCAGCAATGTGAAAATTGCTAATGTCCTTACATGCCTGGAAAATCAGAGTACCCAATTTTCTATTTGCTAGGTAGAAAATATTTTCTGACCAAATTTGGTGGAATATAAATGCCAAAAATCTCTCTTAATAATAGAGGAGAAAAATGGAGTTAAATGGAGCAGAATGCAAGAAGAGTCTTTGGTGTAGAGGTTACTGCCACATGCTGTGAGAGTTTGGGATCAGCTAGCAATGCCATCAGGGTGGCAGGGAGAGAGCATTGTTATGGGAACCCTTCCCATGCCAGATACCAAGGGAGGAGTCCAGGCTTCTCCTTCTCACATGTGGCTCTCATGAGAACTGGGTAGGGTATACTGTGTTCAGTCATGAAATGAGGCAAAGGACTGAGCTGGCTTTTCTCACTGAGAAAAAGATTAGAAACATATAGGTGAGTTCCTTATTATCATTCTGAAAAAGTTAAAACCAATATTTACACCTTAACAAATGGAACAGCTTACTCATCTGTGAAGCTGATCTGACATTTTCTTGCAAGTTTCTGGTTCACATGGCTACATATCTTTTACCCTTCTCAGTGACACACATTGTTGGCAAATGTCTCCATCACTTAGGGCAGGGAACTGTAAAATCAGAGCACATTCCTACCTACCAGAGAGGATAATTTCAACTAGCAACAGTTACATAGTAGCATAGATTGGTTACTATTTCCATGACCCAACAAGAGCCAGGGGAAAATTCTAGGTGAATGACTCGAGATTGGGTGACAGAAGTCAGAATTAGCCACATTTCTCTTAGTGGTCCAACGATCCTAGAAATTATTCTGATTGCTATATGTATATATCATAACTACAAACACGATTAACAAAGCCCTGTTATATTGCATTTTAAAAGTGGCAATTGGAGCCATAAAGAAAAACAAAAGCATGTCCTTTGCAGCAACATGGATGCAGCTGGAGACCATCGTGCTAAGTGAACTATCACAGAAACAAAGAACTGAATACCGCATGTTCTCATAAGCAGACCCTGATCACTGGTCACACGAGCACAAGCATGGGATCAGCAGATGCTGGACACTGCTAGGGAAGGGAGTGGGGCACGCGGCAAAGAACTGGATACCTGGTCCACTATCGGGGGGGGGAGAGAGGGCCAGCTAGAAGTCCAGATTTTACCTGTACACAATTTACTTATGAAGTAAATCCTCACATGTACTCCACACCTTTAAAATAAAATAATAATAACACTAATCAGCAAAAAGCTAAACCAAACAAAAAAATCATAATAAAAGAAAGAGAAAAAAATGCTAAAAAAAAAAAATATATATATATAGCAATTGGGTGCTAAGGGATAGAGAAGCAAAATTAGAAGGGAAGAAAGATATTCTGAGAACCAAATATGTAATGTCAGATTAAACTGAGCCATGAAGCAGACTTGCCCTTCAGTAGCGAGTTCAGTTATGTCTCGTGTTTTTATTGAGGGAGACAAGGAGTGAGCACAAAAATAAGAGTTCCTTCAAAGGAAATTTACAGACAGATATTGTTATTAAACACTCTAGACAAAACTGAACTGTTTTATCTAAATGGGCCATCGAGGTAGTCTCTGCTGGAGTTGATGAACCAACAAAGGAGCCCTCAGTTATGCCCGATGTTAGATTATTCCACGGAATGTTACCCAGTGTCATTGAGCACCATTGTTGAACTACCAAAAAGGCTAGCTGAAATTAAACTCGTTTTCTAAGCACCCAAAGAATGGTGAGATTGTGTACATAATGCTTTCTTTCTTTCTTTCTTTTTGAGTTGGGGTCTCACTTTGTCACCCCACCTAGAGTACAGTCGCTTGAACACAGCTCAACCACAGCCTCCAACTCCTGGACTCACATGATCCTCCCACGTCAGTCTCCCAAATAGCTGGGACTACAAGTGCATGTCACCATGCCCAGCTAATTTTTTTTTAGTAGAGACAAGGTCATGCTATTTTGCCCAGGCTGATTTCAAACTCTTGGACTCAAGCAATCCTCCTGCCTTTGCCTCCCAAAGTGCTGTGATTACAGGTATGAGTCATTGCACCTGGCTATTTCTCTTTCAATCGATCAAATGTTGAGAGAAGAGATGGCAATTGTTAATGATAGGATTAGCTGCTCCGGGGGATCTGTTTGAACCACAGCCCTCTCCTGTCTCCTTCTCTGGATGTCTCCTTATCAGTCTCTACTTTTAGTGGAAGGACTTCCTAGTCCCCACCTGTAGGAGAAAGGAACTGCTAAAAAGGGCCTCAACAATGGGGCTTGGCAGTATTTTTGCTCACATGTTCAACACTTACACAGAAACATCAACAACAACAAAATTACTTGAAGCCTAATATCTTATATCCAGCCTCAGACCAAAGAATTTTATTTTCATTTTCATTTTCTTAAGCTAAAATGTTATGGAAAACAAAATTTTATCAACTAGTTGCTTCAGAACAATATACTGTATGATGAAGCTCCGTACATTGTAAATGTTTTTGCAATCCTGACAGGACAAAATAAGTCCGCCATATTTTCCTTTGAATTTTGGAATGGAAACCACGTTCTTCCTTTTCCAGGCTCTCCTGCATGGAGACCAGGCTGCTTGGAAGGAGCCGCAAGAAAAGTGCATGAGACGTGAGCACGGGAGACACGGAAATGGGCCGCCTCCAGGCTGGCGACGGCACTGACTCAGCCAAGGCTCTTGCTCCAGTCTCTGCAGGCCCCGCTGGGGCAGCATCAGCCAGGGTCAGACCAACACAGCAGGAGGAAGGGTTGTACAGTGGGTCCCCATGAAACATGCTACTAAAAAAAGGTGCAACGAGAACCAAGTCCCTGTGCATTCTCAGTCACAATGGTGGGCAGAAGAGCCCATACGATTCCTCCCTTTGGTATTAAATAACAGTTTTAAAAAAGCTTTTTAGAAACAAAGCAAATACATGGTGGGACTGGAAATGTTAGCCATCCCAGGTTAGTTGTCCACTGAAATAAGTCTCATCCCTAGTCATAAATAAATAATCTCTTTCCTGGTCTGACTTCCATGCCAGGATCAATATCTCTTAACATCTTACTTATTTTATTACTGCTTTTGGTTTTCTGGGACTGATTGAAAGTTGCTCAGAGGAAATCTTTGGTTTTGCTTAAGTGTCCGTGACATTTAATCATGACTTTCCTTGCAGTTTAATTCCAACCAGTCAATCAGTTAATCCACTTCGATTGATTCTGGGCTCTCGGTTATTGGCTTGCACTCATTGGGCATCCGCTGGTGTCGGCTCAGCTGGGTGGCCTGCGTGAAGCTCCGCTCACACCTCTCGCACCTGGTGGAGGCAAGAGAGAAAATTGAGACCAGGGAGCGGGGCCTGCAGGGTGATGGGCTTCCTCTCATCCTGCCTAATCAGAACAGACACTCCAAAGTGGCTTCAGATTTTACCGGCTCAAGAGGTTTAATTGGTGGCTCCTTCCAAGGCCTGGATGCCTGTGATGGGACAAAGCCCATCTGATGCAGAACAGAGGGATCTGTCAATAGGCAGGGGGAAGGTGATTTCTCCAGAGAGCCCTGTCCTGCTGCAGCTCTGATCACTGTCAGTTCAAATAGATAAAGAACAAAAAGAGATTTTTAGGAGTGAGCCATCAAAGAAGCAGCTTGTCTGCAGTTTTCTGCTCCGTAACCCCAAAGAGAAATTGATGACAAATAGAATTTCACCTGCTGCTAATTTACAATCGGGAATTCTACCCTCCTCAGCATGGCAGCCAAAGACTGATCATCTAGGAAATGGGAAACGAGAGGAAGCAATATCTTAGTTTGTGGTGACTATGGGGGCTGCTTTTTTGCAAAAGCTAGTTACAGTGTCACAGCCCAACCAAACTTAGCGTTAAAACCACTTACAAAACTAGGGTTTGTGAGGAGGTGGGAGGCTCAAAGAAATTGGAAATCAACAAATGTGTGTGTGGTTCAAGAGGTTCACCTCTCCAGAAAGTACAGTAGAAGTAATGTACATATGGCTCATAATTGGGGGCCAGCATGTCTGATGAGGAGAAAACAGGTTTCATACTTCAAGGTTATCTCTTCTTCTTAACTTAAAAAAGGAAAAAAGAGACTGTAATCCAGAGCCACTGGGCCCATAATCTAGAAACCTGGGTCCATCCCTATTTCCCATGTCCATATCTCCCACACAACCCTCACTTATGAACTTGATGGCTACTCGATCTACAAAAAACAAAACACACACAACTCAAAATCTAGTGGGGACTTGCAGTTTTCCTGAGGGTTTTGTTCCTGGCTGATGGACTGTGATTGTGTATATATTACAAACAGATGAACCATGTTAGCAAGCTGTGCACAGTGACTTCCCTGTCACCACCTTACTTGTCTGGACTACCTGGAGCCATTGGCCCCGTTTCTGATAGGGCCCAATGGCCACCCTCTAATGTTCTTTCCTCAAACCTTCGAAGGAAAAAGCATTCAGGAGGAGCTGCAGACAACTCTCTCCCTTTTAAATAACATAACCTCCAGTTTGTGGGCCCCGCACTATGAAGGCTGTGCCAGAAGCCACCATGAAAAAGTCCCCACTGTCCTATCACAGATCAGTGGCCCCATGCCCTGTTATCCAGTAGGCATTCCTCTCTGTCTCCTTTTTAGTAAATTATAGAAAGTGCCCAGTCACGGAAATAATAGCCTATAAAATAGGACACAGTTGCCCACTCTGGGGATTGTTGCATGTTTTTGAACACTGGGAGGCAGAAGCGTAACTTCATGCTTGGGTTTTTCAGGGCTCCTGCATCAGCTGAGTTGTCAGGGGAAAGAAGTTGTGCTTCTTTGATTGTCTTTCGGGGAATATTTTTAGCAGCCTGTTCCACAGTTAAAAACTGCACTGTGATCTTGACAAATGTATAATGTCAGCTTTAATGTATCAGACCTATCAGCTCAATGAAAATAACTCAGAAGTATTGATCACCTAATGATTTTTAGTGTATTCATTAACGTCCGTGGGCATCTCATCCCCTCTCCAGAGCTCCTTGGGTGCTGATGACACGTTAGCGAACTGCTGATTGTTTATTAGAAAGCTGATTAGTTACTGGATTCGTGTGTCAAAATATACTACCCTTCACTGCTTGACTAACTTTTAAATTATTATATTCCTTTAAAAAAAAAAATTGAAGCTCTAGAATCCATTTGAAAGAAAGCAGAATAGCTTGAACAATTGTGAGGCACAACAATTTACCTGTGTCATGTTTTTGGATTTCTAATCTTGTGTATTAGAATATGAGAGACACGTAAGTAAGAAGTTCAGTGCATCATTTAAGACAAAAGTACATGGCTATATGTACTATTTAAACATTCAGATTAGATGGAGACATTAAGATGAGAGTTACATTTTTCTCAAGTGTTTTCCGAAATGCCTCACAGATATTTACACACATGGAATAATTTGTTTTAATAGTCAGGAAATCTGTCCAATGTATAGGGCACATAAAAAGATCATTCTGGAAAAATCATCTCTAGAGCCATCTGCCCACCGAGTGTGAGTAAAAATACATGCAGATGTGTAGAAATTACCTTCATTTAGGTCTTTTCCCCAGGGATTTCTCTCTCCTGAGGAAAGTGGACTACTAGAAATGATATCTACATGGTTTGAGAATGATAAGAACACTATATATCTAAGGACGTGAAGAGAGCTAGATATAAAAATACTTTTTTTAAAAAATAAGGAAAAACCTCAGTTTTATGTTCATCATCTTAAATTTTAGAGAAATCTGCCCCCTACAAAATATTTTCACAGCTTAATGAAACTCATCAGAAGGAAGAACTCAACATACCCAGGTTCATGAGGTTAGAGACAGACTTCACCTGGGTTGGCATTTAATTAACACTGAATTACACAATACAGGCAAGTGACTGGGCATGAGCATCTCTAAGCCTCAATTTCGTATAGTGTAATAGAATGAGAAAGAAAGAAAGATGCAGGGAATGAACCAGAAGGGAGAAGTGCCCTTGCATACAAGATCTTCACTGTGCCCTTGGCATAGGTCCTGATGCCACAGTCTTAAGGAACATCACAAAACACTAAAGTTCAAAGTCTTCCATATATTTCAGCAAAGTACCCAACTTTCTACCACAATGAGCGTCTTAATTAGACTTGATTTCCTTTTATGTTTGAGATCATTTTTTACTTACTGTGATGGTTGACTGGAGTATATATGGACAGGGAGCTTAACAAAACAATATAAAGTTCTGTTCAATAGAAAACCTGCAAAAAGCTTTTTGTGCTTCTATGACATGTCGCAAAATGCTTTTTTAACTGGACCAAATCACATAGGGCTTTGTATCTATGGTGTGCTCAGTGCATATTTATGGATTTGCTCTTTGAATTTGTGTTGATTTTGCTTAGTTCTTGTTCAAATATTAGACGTCCCTTGGGATTTTCTTTGATTTTTTGTATACTGAGTCAAACTCCCTTTCCTTGAGGCAAAAACATAGTGATGACTATCTCCTCCTGCTTCCAACAACAATGAAGAAGTACTAAGGAAAGTCTTGGCCTGCTTCTGTAGTTTCCCAGACTCAGAAGCCAGGCATCAGGCAGTGCGCACAGATCCTCCCAGTGAAGCACAGAGAAGGAGAAAGGAGACCTCACTGCAAAGAACATCTTTTAGACTGCCAACTTCCTTCCTTCTTTCCTGCCTCCCTCTCTCCTTTTCCTTTTTCCTCTCTCTCCCTCCCTCCCTCTTTTTCTTCTTCCTGTCTCTCTTCCTGTCTTCCTTCCTTCCTTCTTTTCTACCTTCCTTCCTACTCCTCTCCTTCCTTGCCTTCCTTCTTGCAATAAAGTGCTTGACCATTGCTGTTACATGAAATGATGCCTTTTGCGTTTTGCTCCTTGTTTGCCATGACTTCCAGTCTCATAGAACTGAAAAAGTCAAGACCTTCAATATGATTCTTTGATTTTTAATTTTCCTAGATGCTTCTTTACCTGAGAAATTTTAGGTGTACATTGCAGGTTAGCAGCTGACAGGCCTGTCATCCGCCTAGAACTTGGGGGATGGATTCTTTCAGTGAGATTTCAGTCAATCTGATTGTGAGGCAAAGCCTGGATTGAAACTCTGACCTCTTAATGTCAAATCTTTTCTGGCCCTCTTTAGATGGCAATAATCTTGCTCTGCCATCAAAAACCACCTCTCAGCAGAAGATTTTAGAAGTCAGAAAGGGCTTTTCCCTGCCATGGCAGGCTCAATCTCAGCTCACCTCTGAGAATCTGCGAAGAACTCCTGAGCCCTGGGTGGGTGGGGCAATTTGGGGACTGAACCATTTGGGGCATCTATTTGGAAGCTGCCCAAGACATACAGTTTAGGATTGTGCATCTTTACAAGATTCTTCTCCTTCTTTGTAACATTGTTTAAGCCAATACCCATTAGTTGAAGTAGTAAAATTGACTGTTGTGGTGAAACCCATTTTATTGACTAATCGGCAACAAAAGTTTTTTTTCATGTTTGTTTTATAAACATGTAAAAGGATATCTTCATAATATTTACAAGTGTCGATGGGATGGATATCCATGAACTATGGTTGTAAGATTCCCAAAACTCCCTTGGGACAGATCAATTCTGAAAGACCTGATTGTATACACTAAAGGATTTAACTTTCCATTTCCTAGAAGATGTTTAAATCTTGCACTTTCAAAATATGCATATACTCTTCTCTCCCCTGGGAATATCTATGTGATAAATTTTAAAAAAACAAACAAGAAAACTACAGCATGTGGCTATTTAGATAAGAGGAAGAGCAAAAGGAACTAAAATATGCACATTGAATCTAATCCAAAACCTTGGCTGTTTCCTTATTTTTTCCAGATGAAATTAGGCAGGCTCACAAAAAATACTTTCTGAAAAGGAAAAATGCATCACCAAAACCCTTCAAATATTAATCTGATGAATTCAAATTAAGTTAAAATGGCAACTCTATTGGAAACATGACAAAAACAGGATGTTAAAGAAAAAAAAATTGAGTGGAGTCAACAAGGTTACACATAAGTAACACCTTAACATTAATAGAAATCCATTTCCCATTTTGACCTGAAGCCTCTTCAATTAATTACTAAAATCTATTTACACAGCAGCAAGATAAAAATCAATCTGATTCCTGGTACTGCATTTGTCTGGCAGCCCTTTCTAATATAAGGGGCCAAAAGGACCCTCCATCCTCCTGCATCTCTGCTTTTGAAAAGCTCTCTTGCTCAAAGGCACAGGCAATGGGCTGTCACCTCCCACCTCCAGAGAATTGGTGAAGCTAGAATCTATGAAATCCCAGGGAGTCAGGCCTGAGGGCGATGACAAAAGTCCACCAGGTCAGACACAAACACAGGGAGCAGGGAGCTCCTGGAACTGTGGCAACCCATCTGGCTCCTTAGGGTAAATGAAAAAAAGATGCCCTTTGGGCAACTGCAGCCTCCGTGAGCACAATGAGGTTGGCATAGTGTAGATTCAATTTTAGTCCCCATTCTACTCCCTTGACCAAACGTCCTTAAGCATAAGCTATGACTATGAACACGGACAAAAATTGTCACTAATCGGATTATTAACACCATAACGTAAGCCATGATGAAGAATAGTTCAGAATAGAGGTAGCTAATTCTTGGGAAGATGACAGCCTTTGATGAGCTCCTCCCTTCAATAGCAGACAGGAGGTGGGCAGGACCCAAAATGCAGGACTCTGCTATCCAAGCTGAGTCTGGTCTTGGGCTGAGCACAACAGTGTGCCACAAAGCATGTCCACAGGAAAAGTCATGAGTAAAGAGGCTCTGGGAAGACTTCGTGGCTGAGCCTGAGCAAGGGGATTAGTCTCTTACCGCTTTGAATTATTTTCTCTCTTGCTTGATCTTGTCCTACAAAGGGCTATAACTCTATGCCCTTTTAATTTTCCTTCTCAAACAGGGAAGTAAGTGTAGAGAGATGTAAGAGAACAGAAAAGAATCTATCACATAGACAGTAAAAGGCTGCTCTGAGACCACTGACTGCTCTGAGACTACTGACTGGCTATGCAGGCTGATTCACACACCCAAGCCTCTCCACATGCTGTTTGGACTCCCAGAAATACCTCTTTCCCTTGCATGTCTAGAAAACTCCAACTCATCCTTAAAAACACATCTTAAACATCATCTCATCAGATAGCACTGATCACTTCACTTTCGTGTTATTCTGAGACATCGAACATACATGTCTTTACTGTTGCACTTTTCACCCTATAATACTTGTTTATTAATTGAGCTTCACCCAGGGGTTCCTAATCCCTTAGATGCAGACTGGTACCAGTTCATAGCTTGTTAGAAGTCGGGTCACACAGCAGGAGGCGAGCAGAGCTCCACATCCTGTCAGATCAGCAGTGTCAATAGATTCTCACAGGAATGCAAACCTTATTGTGAACTGTGCAAGTGAGGGATCTAGGTTGCACTCTTCTTATGAAAATCTAATGCATGATGTTCCCACACACACACACTCAGTCCATGGAAAAACTGTCTTCCATGGAATTGGTCCCCAATGCCAAAAAGGTTAGAGACTGCTGTCTTAGACTATGAGGTCTTCAAAGATGGAGGGTAGAGGTATGGGGAGGCAAGTCTCATTCACCTTTTTATCTCTTGTACCTAGCAGGGTGCCTAGTACAAAAGTAGGTGCTCAGTAAATATTTGCTGAATGAATGAGCATGTACATAATTGAACGAGTGAATGAACAAATAATGAACAGGCCATCTTGCATGATGCAGAGGTAGATATCCGCTGTGTTGATGACGGTGCTATATACAGAAACATGCTCTCTTATTCAGTTGCCCTTACCTTGCCGAAGCCCTTAGATTTCAGTTCCACCTTCTTCCACATTCCCTGAATCCTCAACAAGTCAATGGACCCTAGTTTGGTTTGGTTTTTCTTTCTTTACCAACATGGTAATTCTGAGGTCCAAAGTATACAGTGAAAAGCACAAGGTGGCTGCCATGGGTTCAAACACTTTAACACACAGTAAAGAGGAAGAGATCGTTCACCAGAATCCTGAAGGATTCAAGTTCTTCAAGAGGAAATTATGTAGATGTCCTAACCTTGTTGCCACCTTTCTGATGATCATAAAGCCTGTGAATGGCCAGAAGTGCTCTGTGCTGTAGATAAAATTCTAGAAGCACAGATCCTCAGGAACTGGAAAGAATATCAAAATTATTTACTCTCCTACCTCCTTATTCTAATGATGAGAAAACAGACCCAGAAAATTTGTCTCATGTCCAAGGTGGCAAAACTCGAGCCAGGACCAATGCACAGGTTTCCTGACTTCATTTTCCAAATGCCAGTCACTAAACAGGGAGATTCTTTTTCAGCCTGGACATTGACCTTCCAAGTAGCCTTCTCCACCAGCTGGCTATGCTGATGCATCTGCCAGTCTCAGGAAAGGCTAAGAGAAAGAGAGAGTGGAGGGCTAGCCACTACTTACTTGAAGGGCTTTTCTCCAGTGTGGGTTCGGATGTGGTTGTTGAGGGTGGTGGCCCCGGCAAAGGCACGACCACAGTAGCCGCACTTGAAAGGCCGGTCACTGGAGTGAGTGACCACGTGGTTCCTCAGTTCTGAAGGTTGGGAAAAGGACTGGGAGCAGTGACCGCATTGGTAGGGTCTGAAACAAATAAAGAGACTGCCTGGTCATTATTTTCTATGTTGGTCAGTGGAAGTCAGAATCATGAGACAAGGGGCCAAAGCTTTTAGGGGACACTTTCTTTGTATTTAAGACATAGTATAGAGCTTTGGCCACAGAGTTCCCACTGCTTTACTTGTTGCTATGGGACCAAAAGTTACAGAGTGACTGAGACACACCAATTCCCAAATGAAGATTCCTTCACAGTACTAGTTATACCATTTCAGGAGCTCCTACTTTCTTGTTTTTATCTCCTCTGCCCCAGGCAAATATTAGTGTGCTTTTGTGAGCAACAATAGTACAGACTTGATTAAGCAGAATGTTACAAGAGAAAATATATAATTGTCTCTTATATTTCCATGGCACTTTTCACTTTTCAAAGTGTTCTAAAATCAATTATCTAGTTTAATCTTTGGGATAATCCTCTGGCACAGGGAAAGCAGTGGCTATTATCTGTGTCAGTTCAGAAAACTGAGGATAAACTGTCCTCCCAGGACATAAGTTCTTGATGCCAAGGCTATTGGAGGGTGTCCAGACTTTATTTCAAGTACCAGGTAAGCATGCAGGCAAATCAGGGCATTACATGTATGATTTAATAAATCCAAAACTGTTGTGGAGTCTGTCTGTAGCACATAACCACTGGAATTGCACAGACGGCCACAGATATGAACTCAGATGTGTCTCTTTGTCAAAGAAGTCCTGATTTCCACTTACTATATCCCAATTCCAAATATTTATCCATCGGGTCTTCTTCTTGAACTTCAGCTCCCCAGTTTAATCTGGTAGCAAGGAATGATCTATAGCAGCTCAGAAATGACAGGATGTCACTAAACTTACAGAAGGATGACTGTGATGCAAAAGCAAATGGAAGTAAGTTGTGACAAATACCTGATAATTAGCAAGATTATCAGAGCACATTCTTTCCAGCTCATGAGAAGTAAATCAATTGGTTTTCATAAAGTAGATTAAAATTTTGTCTTCTATACGGAAGTTCTTCTGCTTACTTAAGCAGAATCCGGTGAGTGATATAAAACCCGGGGAGTTTTCCCTATTCGAAGCTATTTCATATCATTCCTGACAGGACTCTAATTTGTTTATCAAAATTTTTGTTCAGACAATTAATAATCTGTCGTAAGAGATATTAACACTGTTCACTAAGCCCTGGTGGGTGGGCCAGACGTTTCTGCATTTAGAAACCAACGGTGAAGGCAGACTTAATTGTTCAAGCTTTAACGAATGTATAAGCTCCAATGACCAGAAACCAAAATGAAGGGCTAGGAAACAATGGCAACTGAGCATGTACAACAATTCAATTAAGTGCAAAATAAAGTGTACCCTCTCATTTGTCAAGTGAACTGTTTAATTGTGGCTATTTGCCCCACTGAACACAAATACTATTATTTTACCAGGCCTCAGCACACTGAGCCCTGATTGTAGAATTTTTTAGCTTGATTAATAGTCCAGGAGTGGTCAATAACTCAATACTATACAATTTTAATTACTTGCATTTAGAAATCTATCTAGCTGCTCTCAAACAAGTTTCAAAGAAATATATAAAAGTCTTTGGTAAGGAGTTTATCAATCTTGACAAATTACACATGCATTTTATTACAATTTTAAAATAATCCTTTGAAAACCATTAAAATTATATGTGGGTAAAAATATCCTCCTGCCAAATCTTTCCAGTAAACATTAACCTTAAATGTTTCCTCAAAAAATAATTCTCTCAAGGGTGAATTTTTAAAAATGTTATTGAACATTATAAGCAAAATAATATATTAATATATGCTATATCCACTGACAATTGATTTTTCTAATAGTGAAGGGACCATTAACATTTATTAGCCTCTGGTTATCTATTTTTAATAGCTATCACAATAAACAATAAGCCACTAAATAAAACCAATTAATCTTGTCTTTTTTTTCTAACTCTGCTGTCAAAAGTTGGGGTGATTTATTTCTTACAGTCAGAAGTCAGTACATCCTTTTTATGTTAATAGTTCACAGTGGCAAAGATTTACACACAGAAGAGCAAAAAATGACCACAGAGAGGCTTATGTTGAATTCTTATATCAAGGTAACACCAACAGGCAAATGGGATTCTAAAACATCGTCTTTGCCCAGCATCAGCCTGAGAGGTATTGGCTAGGGATCCAGTGACAAATAGGGCACAGTTTTTAAAACTTTGCAGAATTCAGCTTGACTGAATAGAAGGGCCTAGAGTGGGAGAGAGGAGGTCTGGGTCCTGCTTCAGCCTGACTCCAATCATTTGTGGGACTTGAACAAGTCACTCAACTTCCCGGCTCTGTTTTCTCACCTATCTGATAAGGGCAATGGACTGAACAAGATGATCTCCTGCATCTCACTATGCTTTGTTCCTGCTTTCAGGTAACTGACAAATGTACATTACCCGTGTACTTGTCCAATACACAGCCTCATGCTCGACAACAACACCAATACAATCTCTATCTTCTATCACATGTACCAGTTGCTCCTGGTACATGGAGGTTTCTATGGTTGTGTGGTGGGGGCAAGGAGGGCATATGCTTGTTAGAATATGGAAGATTTAAACTTATTGGTTAAAATTTAAGAATTCAGAGCAACAAGCAACAAGAAAATCTACCGAAATGTAGGCCCAAGCCTTCTTTAAGTCACTCTCCAAAAGCAAAGCAATACTCCTTTATTCTTAGGCACCTTGAAAAATATGAGTTTACTCTTTGGTCATATTCATCTTTGCAGAGGCTGATTTTAGGTAGAATTTAGAACTAAATCCTGTACCTTACCTGCCACTATAATAAGAGAGCATCTTTCTCATTTAGAAAATTAGCCTTCAGAGAATACAAACGTTACATGGCAAGTAGACAAGATTCCTTTAGAACCTCTTTCCCTGCATTTTCATTATTTCCTAAAAATTAATAAAAAGACATGAAAAAGGAATTTGAAAATTGATTGTGTACCTAGGGTTTTATATAAGGACATAGGGATACATCCAAGACAGAATTAAATCTTCAAGTCCAAGAGCAGAGCTTGGAAAACATCATTGTCACTTCAGAATCTCAGGCATCACAACTTATTTTGGAACAACTTGCCACAGGAGTCAAGTCTACATGTATGTTTCAGGTAGTACACCCTGACTCCACACCTCCCAATCGACAACTGAAAAGGCGTGGAGGACACAGAATTCATTGGCATTGTTCTGCTTTTTATTCTGATGACCAACATTCCAGGCAATTTTTTTAAGGTGTGGCAAAAAGGTAAGACATAATTTAGTAAACTTTTGGATATAATCAATTTCATCTCCAAACTTCTGCCTCCCTTTGGTAGGCCATACCAGAAGAACTTGTAAGGAATGACATCCATGAGTGCCATGTTTAGCTTTCCAGCATCTCATGTCAGCACACAACTAAATGGGAATTTCCTTTCTAAAGTACTTTATTCTCCCCAAATCATCGCAGATATGGTATTTCACGCTTCTCAAAAAAAAGTGGGGGGAGAAGGGGCATGAGCATCCCTCACAAAGGGGTGGCACCTCACAACCATGAGTAATTGATGACTTTTTAAGACTTGAGAACTCTAGCCAGGCTGTCCAATGATGGAACTGTTCTGTATCTAAGCTACCCAATACTAGAGTTGCTAGCCACATGCACTTGTTGAGCACTTGAAGTATGGCTAGTGCTCCTCAGAAACTGAAGTACTATGTTACTTCATTCTGATGAATTTAAGTCTAAAGATAGCCTTGTGCAGCTAGTTCCAACACAGAAATATGCAGCTTCATAAACACACACACACACACACACACACACACACACACGCTCCTTACTCAACAGAGAAATAACCGAATAACTGGAAAAAAAAAAAACCCTGGGTCACTTTCATTGCCATATATCAATGCTGGCAAATTTTGAAGCAGAAAGAAGGCAGAGATACAATTTTGCACATCCCTTGGCATTCTATGTCATTGGCAGCTCTTCTGCCAAAGATCACTCCAATAAAATGTGCAATTCATTTGCTTTGAATCTGTGATCGATTTGGTGTACACATAGGAAAAGGACGAAACATTTAACAAAATTAAGTGTGATTTAGCTTAAAACTAGTAATCTTGCTTGGAATTTTCTTTCATGGCCTCCAGGACAAAAGTCGTTCATGAGAGCCATGTTCTCTCCTTGCTCCACTTCAGCCTGCCCAAGTGCAAATCTCCCAAGACTTCAAAAGGGACTACTTAGGTCACCGCTGGTTGTGTGGAGTGAGGAGAGAACTCAGCCCTACGTAAGGAGAAAAATATTTCAGGAGAGTGATAAAAGTGCAGAATCAAAGTGCCTGGAGAACATCAAAGCTAGAAAGAAGATAATCTTCACACTTGGGAGGTAGGCGGGGAAGAAAGAGTGGACCCTAAGAATATGAAACACTCTAAGAAACTACTGTGCTGATGGATTATCTCCAGGCTCCTCCCACTAATCAGCATCTTCTCAAGTCATTTTCTTCTCTGGTTCCACCACATCCCATTACAAACAATGACACTTAAAACACAATTGTGGACAGCTGACAGTGTGCCCAGAAGGCTGAAGGCTGACTTTCCTCATGTGACACAAATGATCAAAAAGGAGAAAGGAAAAGAAAAGGACGCAAAATAATGACAAGCATTATAAAGACACTTTCTGTGGAAAAGAGAAGAGTGTGTGTTTATCAGAAAATAACCCACTGTGATTGAAGGCTTTGCTGACCTCTTTCTGGAGTCCTTCCACCCCCCAGTGGGAGTGTTGAGAGTCGCTACAGCAGAAACACAGAAGAGAAAGGAGATTTCTAACTCCTGGTTTAGACTCAAGTGAGTCATGCTGCCCTGGCCTAGGCAATATGGTCATGCAAAAACCCAAATGTTTATGAAGTCCCTAAACAAAATCTTGGTTGCTCTAGAGTCCAATAGCTTCTTTCCTTTGAACTCACTCAGGAAAAGAAAAAGTCACTAGCCTGGGGAAAAGGAGGAAGAGATTTTTGGTTTTGTTTGTTCAATATGAACAGAATAAGAACAAGAAATAACAATTCCATGGTTCCTGGACCCTTGTGAGCATGTCATCTTTAAAACTGATTTCTTCTTGTATCTGATTTCTACTTTGCTGGGTCACATGGAACATTTTCGTATTCAATGTGAATAACACAGTGATGAAAAATTGTGATGCTGGTATCCTTGGGCATCCATGGTCTCCTTTTACATCGAGGCATAGACTTTTTTGATGGTACTGCATGAAAAAGCTCATGAATACAGACATACGATGTCCCTTTGATGAAGGTTCAAATATTTGGGGTTTTCATAGTCAAATATTTACACCATTGAGTGAAAAATCTTTTGGACCTCAGATTCTGGGGCCCCTTTCAAATTTGGACCTGTATGAACTCCAACCTATTTACCTTCTGACTTTGTCTTCCATGTCTCCCTTTCTTGCCTCTAGTACTAGAGAGATTTTCCTATCAAAATAAAAGACTTGTTGTTGTTGTTTTTCCAAACCAAAGAAATGCTTTCAGACTGTTAAACTTTTTCACTGTTTATGGCTGAATGTGCACACATTGCCAAAGACTAAAAGCCAATTTATAGAGTTATTCACTAAAGATTATATGTATACAGGTTGAGCATCCTATATCTGAAAATCCAAAATCTGAAGTGTTCCAAAACCCAAAACTTTTGGAGCATCAACTTGATGCTCAAGAAAATGCTCGTTGGAGCATTTCAAATTTTCAGATTTGGCGTGTTAAACCAGTAAGTATAATGCAAATATTCCCATATCCCAAACAATCTCAAACACTTCTGATCACAAGAATTTTGGATAAGGGATACTCAACCTGTATTCAGCAGTTGTAAATATCCACACAGATAAGCACAAAAAAAGGTTCCAAGTTTAGCAACAGTCATGAACAATTTGATGTTCCACTGTAGTTCTGTAGATGTTTCCCATTTAGCAATTCACTCAAGTGGTTAAGAATTAATGAGAGAATCTTTTACTTCCAAACTTTCTGGTACAAAAAGAGCATCCCGGGTTCTGGAACAGAAAAGAGCTATTCTGGTCCTATATGCTAAAGGTGAACGACTAGAAGGAAAAAAAACCCACAGAATTTGTTTATTTAAAAAACTATGTATTTATTTTTACAAGTTTAAGCTTCAGTCACCTTCAAAGTGCTCTCTGTTTGATGCAATACACCTATCAGTTGCTTTTTCCACTGGTCAAAACAATTTTTGAACTTGTCAATTTTGATGCTTTTTAGTGCTTCTGCCATTTTTTTTTGTTTGTTTCACCTCTTCCACATCAGCAAAATGTTTCCCTTTGAGGACATTTTTCACCCAGGGAAACAAACAAACAAAAATACTCTCAGGGTGAGATCAGGTAGATAGGGGGGTGGGGCATGGGGGTCATGCCATTTTTTGGTCAAAAGCTGCTGAACACTCAGTGCATTGTGAGCATTTGTGCTTTTAAATCATCCATCATGAAATGGGCAAACACATGGAAAGATCTCACCAAAAAAAAAAAAAAAAAAATTCACTGAAGCTGAATGCAGCCACTCACAACAACGCTAGCTGGTATATATGCCAATGGGGTTCTAGAACAGTTACCTAGAGGGGAGCCTGTCCTACAAGGGACTTGCCCTCCAAAAAATAATTCCAGATTTTTGGGGTCCCCTTGTATGTTTCTAGAATGAAAAGTGACTGGGCATCTCCCTCTAGTTCCCCTCATTTCCAATAATCAACTCAGATGTGATGTGTTATTGAAGCAGTTCCCCATTGTTACTAAGAAACATTGTTCTTTATTACTTTGCCTATAAAGAGACTGATTTTTTTGAAGTCATTATTTTTCATTTTAACTTATTCATGAATGATGGTGACCACTTCTCAAGTCCTCACCAACAAAGTGCAGAGAAGGGAGAAGCAGGAACCCACGGATTGAGTAATTTGATACCACTCTGGCTATTTGTCAGATAACAAGCACCCATGACTTCACCTCATCTGGGAAGGCTGGCCCTCCACACCTGGGTATCTTCACCAAATCAACTCATTAGGGTCTAGCATAGAACGGAGTCTCAGACCACCTAGACTTTTGCCAACAGCTGTAAATTAGCTTGGAATCAGCACTGATTTAATAATCTCTCATGGAAGGATGTTATGTACATACAAGTTTTCTAACTTTTCAGATATTTTTCTGATAGCATATGGATGTATTACAAATTATGATGCTATTATTTTACAGAACAGGCTTCATCTTAAAGCATAATACACACATATGACTTTCTATGTGTAACTGGGCTCAGACAAAACTGTCTGTTTCAGTATCTTTCTATTTACCATGAAACAGTTTGATTGCTTTATATGACATTCAGCATGTATTCGTGTCCTCTTCAAAGCTAAGCTTTAAGTTCCACTACCCAGAAACTTTTAACTATTATTTCATTTTACCTAGCATGATTAGTTATTGTGACTACTATGAGCCTTTTTGAACAATAGATTCAAACATCTGAACTCACTCAATTTAAAAGCAAGTTTATAAAAAGATGTTAATGTACCTTTTCTATTTTAAAAACTACGAAATGCCTTGCAAACTTAGAACAGATATATCTTGAGGCCATATGTGTACTCACAAGGAAAACAAACTTTCAAAAAAATCCTTGCTGAATGAAAAAACCATTTTCAAGCTTTAGTATCACCTCTACAGCCAATAGTACTAAGATTTGCAGATCTATGTTGATATTTCACCAGGGAGTTCTCCTAATGAAAATGAAAGACTGTGATGATACAGGTACCTAAAAACCTTAATGTAAATGTTTCAACATTAATTAGTTTCAGCAATGCTTGACTCTAAGCAAGTTATTTCTAGAATGAAAACATATGCATATATAAATGTGCATGTGTACTCTATAACTGATTTTTATTTTAGAAAATATCCACCCCCTTCCCATCACATCTCCATCCTCCCTGCCTTTGCTGGGGTCTTCTAAGCACACTGTTGTATCCTACAGAACTGGAAGGGAAGAGCTGGGTGCATTTCATTAGGCAAGGAGAGCCAAGGGATTTGCTTAAGGTTAATCAGTGCCAAAATTAAGAAAATAATTCAAGAGTCCTGCTTCTGAGTTGCCTATTGTAGTTCCAAAAATTATTTTTTGCTTTTGTATTCAGAATGTATTTTAATGCTATTCTTTGATATTTTTGTTTTAATCAAGTTTTCATAGGACATAAAGGAGAGATAAAACACAAGCAATTCTTTCTTATTGAATTAATTTGATTTTTGTCTTTTGTGCTCCCAGCTATCAAGACTGTCGAATAAACCAGTTTTGATTCATAAATAATAGTTCCATTATATCTACTATGCCACTCGTCAGAGTACCTGAAATTTTAATTCACTTGTTCAGCTAAATTTCATCCTCAGTTCATGGCCATAAAATTCTTTATTGACAAACTTTCAAACCAACTTTGACTCTGAGGTATCTAGTCAACATTTTTCTTCTGTGTGGATATTAGTTTATTGAATAAGTGGCATCTGTTTTCCTCCACATCACTAGCAGAGTAGGTATTTCCTTTTGACAGCTTTGCAGGATTTATGGGTTTGCATGCTCTGAAGAAAAATAGTACTAAGCAAAAAATTCCAATTCATTACCTCTTAGTACTTAATTAAGTTCATACCCACGGCACACTGGAGGTGAACCCTGAAATGACTGTGACAGCAGCAGAGCAGCCAGCTATATTATCTTTGGAAGACAGAGAGGATTCTAATTATCCCGACCTCATTTTTCCATCTCTGATATTCATAAATGTTCCCTCTATTTTTATCCCTTTTAGACTTGGACAGAACTGTTTAGAAGGCAAGTATACCTCTCTGCAGCCACCAACCTACCCGTACAGCCCTTATAAACAATAAAGTCAAGCAGTGGCCTAACACTGCTCTGTGGCTTTCCAGGATGCAGACACCTCTTAGTACAGGGTTTTCCCTGTGGAAGCAATCAGAAGCTGGCAGGAAGGCAGGCAGTGGGTCCCACTAGACAAACACCCCGTGAGCAGTGAGAGTCATGGTTACCTGTCGGGGTTCTGTGTGCACACGTGCATCTGTAAGAGGATCCGCTGGGTGAAAGTCTTAAAGCACTGCCCACATTTCCAAAGATGCCAGTCACTGAACTCCGAGTGGAGCTGGCTTGTGGATGTTGGGCTTGCGAGGACTCGCTGGTTTTTCACGTTGATCTGGTTAAATCCTGATTCAATGGGCCCAGACTTATCCAGGAGAGAGAAGTTCCTGCTGCACGGAGTCTGGGGGAAAACGACGGAGCGCTGCTGGGTTGCCGGGGCGAGTTTGCTGCTCTTGTTGAAGGGCTGCAGGGTGTCTTGTCTGCACATGGCTTCCATTACCGTTGAAGGGACATTTACTAGGAGAATAGCAACAGTTTAGAAGATCAGTTTTACTAGCCCTTAAAATAAGCACAACAACACATACTTTTGAAAAGTTCTATAAATCAGCATTTTAAACATTTGTTTTTCTGGATTTGGAAATAGCATAATAACAAACAATCTGATTTGAAGGGAAGGCACTATTATCACAAATTACTAAAACATCAGATGCCTATTTATTAAGCAAATACTACATGCTTGGGATTATTCTGACATAGTCTTTGCCCTCCTGGAGCTCACTTATGACTTGGACCTCACGAGGCTCCATAATGAGGCTCCACACTGTGCCCCACGTTTGGAGGAAGTTTGGGGAGGCACAGCAAGGGAGGGGCAGTGAGCAGGGGTCCTGCCTAGGACGGGTAACCTGAGCAGCACAGAGTAGGTGGATTCAGCTTGACTGGTGGAGAATTTCAGGCCTTCCTACAGACCCTGCCAGTACAGGACAAGTATCTAGGGGAAGCTGGTTGAAGAGATGAAAGGAACAAGATGAAAGACACCTGGAGACAGAAGTCTGACATGCTGGTGTGATTGTAAGGAAGACAGGCTGACTGAGCAGGGCACGGATTCTGGGCACTGTAGGAATAAGGGTTGGGAATCAGGAGAGACCTGGGAGGGCCTTAAAAGTCCAAATAAATAAATAACCTCAGACCTACAAAACAGACACGGACTGTTTCTGAGCAGAGGAATAGCAAGAAGAAGAGAATCACTGTTTAAAGGTGGCTTGAGTGAGGCCTGATTTATAGACAGGTGCACAGAGAAAGGTAAAAGTGGAAAACAATAGAGTGTGGTGCTTGCAACTTGGGCTTTGGAATCAGAAAGACCTGGGTTCAAATCCTGACTCTGCCTTTCACTAGCTTGGTGATCCTAGGCAAATTAATTAATCGCTCCATGACTCAGTTTCTCCATCTATAAAATGAGGGCAGAATAACAGCAGCATGTCAGTGGTTGAGATGGCCCAGGTTTTAACTCCACTAGCCTTTGAAAAGTATAGAACATTTAAATCCACGAATTAGTTCCTGCTAAAATGTAAAAGGGTCACTCTAAGGATTAAATGAGATAATACATAGACAGCATTTAGTAAAGAGCTGGGCCTATGGCTGACACACAATAGACGTTGAGCTCTGTGGGCCCTGCTTTCCTCATCTTCAAGCCCCCATTTACAAGATTTAAATGTGATCATGAAAGCCTCATTTCAGGGTCTACAAGCAGCACAGTCACTTTCTTATTACTATAGGAGAAGAAACTGGCATGAGGAAGGTGGCCCGAAACTGGGGTGGTGGCAGTGGAAATGAGGAAAGAACTAAAAGTAAGAAGCATTTTTTAGATGCAAAACTTAAGATGCCTAAAGTGTGTTGTTCTTTTTTTTGAAGATATTATTGTGTTCATAATATTGATCAAGAATTCTCCAGTCATTCCATAGGTCCAGAGGTGATTTGAACCTAATAGACTTAAAAAATTTTTCTTCTTTCATAAAATAACAACTATAGCCGGGCTCGGTGGCTCAGCCTGTAATCCCACACCTTTGGGATACTGAGGTGAGTGGATTGCCTGAGCCCGCGGGTTCGAGACCCGCCCGGGCAGCAAGACCTCATCTCTACAATAAATCAAAAAATCAGCCGGGCAGGGTAGCGCACGCCTGTAATTCCAGCTACTCGGAAGGCTGAGGCAGAAGGATCGCCGGAGCCCAGCAGGTCGAGGCTGCGGTGGCCGGGAGTGGCCACTGCACTCCAGTCTGGACGACAGAGTGAGACTCCAACTCAAAATAAATAAATAAATAAATAAATAAATAAATAAATAAAATAACTATATTCATTGGTCACTTCGAGTGTCAAAGAGATTATGGTTACAAAGTGGTCAAGATAATGCAATTAGAGACAAAAATTTTTGAAAAGGATGGTTGGCAAAAAGATTGGTGATGGCAAGTAACAAAATCATGCCAACTATGGCTATCGGTCACTGGTTCAAGGCCACATGAAAGGAAGCACATGAACTGGGAGTAGCCATCTTGCCCTGCCACAGACCATTGCTGAGATTCCTACATAGCATCAAGAGTCAGTGTCCTTAAGGGTAGAGGACCATGACTGCCACAAGGCTTTGTGTGTGAGTAGACACACACATGTGTCAGCATGTATGGGGAGACAGCATGTGTGGGGACACAGTGGGTTGGGTGTGCTGCCTCAGGTCTCCAGCTCAGAGCATTCTACAGAACCACATGTGTTAAACACATCCAATCAGAGGCTCTGTCAGCATGACCCATCCGTCCTAGGAAGGAAAAATAAAGCAAAAGACTGCAGATCTAGATAAACCAGAGTTTATCTAGTTGGCAGGGCTTTGTTTGTTTGTTTGTTTGTTTGTTTGTTTGTTTTTGAGTTGGGGGTCTCACTCTGTCACCCAGGCTAGAGTGCAGTGGCACCATCATGACACACCACAGCCTTGAACTCTTAGGCTCAAGTGATCCTCCTGCCTCAGCCTCTCGAGTAGCTGGGACTATAGGCGTGCACCACCATGCTTCGCTAATTTTTTGATTTTTTTGCAGAGACGATGCCTTGCTATGTTGCTCAGGCTTGTCTCAAATTCCTGGGCTCAAGCAATCCTCCAGCCTCAGTTTCCCAAAGTGAGGCACCACACCCAGCCTTAGTTGGCAGTTCTTAACCCTGTGAACATTAGACTCAGAGAAGAATCTTTAAAAGTTACATCAGAATCTCTCAATAGGGCCAGGATGTCTCCATTTTTAAAGTATCTCAATTATTTCTAATGTGAAATCAGGGCTGAGAATCACTGATTGAATCTGACCCTCTCCTGTTGCTAATGACAAAATCTGAGTCCCAAGAAGGACCAGTAACTTGTCCAGTGTCACACATTCAGTTAAGGACAGTTAGGCTGCAAGCTTTAGCTTTCTGACTTGCAGGAAATTTTTTACTGACCATATACTCACATCATCTCTGCTCACTAGCAGTGTTTCAAAAATATAAAGGACATTTTACAGCTAGTATGGTGTTTTGTGTATGTGTGGCCTATATAGAAACATATGTTATATATGCCTATATGCACATACATATATGTGTGCATATGTTCATACCCTATATAATAAATATTTATGTGTATTTGAACTTTGGGGCAAAAGTATATAATCAATATGTAATTTGTAGACAATTTTTATACTTTCCAAAAATGTTTTATGGCACACAGATTGTTACTTTTTAAACAGGCACTGATGAGCTGGGCATGGTGGCTCATGTCTGTAATCCCTGCACTTCGGGAGGTTGAGACAGGAGGATTGCTTGAGCCCAGGAGTTTCAGACCAGCCGAGGCAACATAGCAACACCTGATCTCTACGAGAAAATAGAAATAAAAAATCAGTCAGGCATGGTGGCGCACACCTGTAGTGCCAGGTACTTGGAAGGCCAAGGTGGAAGTATTGCCTTAGCTCAGGAGAACGAGGCCGCAGTGAGCTGTGAGCATGCCACTGCACTCCAGCCTGGGTGACAGAGGGAGACACCAACTCAAAATAGATAGATAGATATACAGATAGACAGATAGTTACGTGGATAGATAGATACTGAAAGATAAAAAGGAAGTCTTGGCACTTTTAAAACAAAAACAGCAGCATTGTCAGAGGTTAGGGTAGAACCATCTTGCTTTGCCCTTTCATTACAAATCCAAAGGAGGCAAATGAAGCGTAGGGAAATCCGCAAGCTTTTTTTCAGGCAATACTAAGCTCCTGCAGGTTGGGAATTTCAGACTAACAGGAAGGAAGGCATGGTGGGGAGACTGCAGAACAAAAGCTCATCAATATGCAGGAGGGCGGGACACCCTTGCCAGAAGCATCACTGATGGAAAGGGGCGTATATCTTTAGGGGGAAATAATACACTCCAAGTATAGACGATGGATTCTGACTTCTCACTTAGCACTTCTAGAAAGCAGCCTAATTGATTAATTTTCAACAATTGTTAAGGTCATATAACTTTTATATGAAAACAAAAGAATGGTGGGTCAGAGGGAGAAGAGGGATGAAGAGAAGTTGGATAATGAATATAAATATATAGTCTGAAAGAAGAAATAAGACATAGTGTTTGTTAGATTAGTCAGATGAATATTGTTTACAATAATCTATTGTATATTTCAAAATAGCTAGAAGAGAATAATTCAAAAGTGTCTAACATAAAGAAAAGACAAATATTTAAGGTTATGGACATCCCAATTACACTGATTTGATCTTTACAGATTAAATGAATGTATTAAATCATCACATGTGTACAAAAATAGGTACATCTATTATGTATCAATAAAAAAGTTAAAGTAAAAGAATCTGTGGACCAATGAATTTTTGTAAGGTTAATTATCAATGTCAAATGGTAATAAATAAAAATTTATGTTTATACAACCCTGTGGTTTGATGTGTCATGTCTACGCCTTTCCCCCCTCAAAAAAAAATTTATGCTTATATATCTATCTAAAAGTTAGTGTAATAAGCCACGATGTTTTGGATCTGAGTTAATGGTAAAAATAGCATTCCGGTAGTAAAAGTGCATACGGTTGAAAAAATTGTTCTCCATTTTATTATTTTCGCTTTCAGAACAACTCAAAACAAATATAGTATGTTATTTCAGCTCCAGGTAGCAACACTTGTACTCTCTATTCTACTTTTGGCATAGTCCTTTAGTGGACTTATGAATAAATTCAAACATACTGAATAAAAATGAACATATAATTTACAGAAAAGAAAAAGTAAGGGTAGCAATAAATAATTTCATTAAAGCAACCATTTTTTAAAAAAAATTTCTAAACTATCCTGTAGGATTCCTGCACAGTTCCATAGGACCCTAGAGGTCTACGAAGAATGCTTTTTTTTTTGGTCAGAGTCTCACTCTGTCCTCTCTGCAGAGGCTCAATCACTACTACCGCAGCCTTGACCTGCTGGACTCAGGCGATCCTTCCAACTCAGCCTTCCAAAGAGCTGAAACTACAGGTCTGTGA